GCGATTGGTCGAGCAAGGGGCTCAAGAGCAGTGCGGTCACGAAAGAAACAGCGCGAAGCGCCTGAGTCTAGAGTGAAGGTGTGCAGTGCCTCAGTGGACTCAGTAGTACCTGGGGTGGCGGACACACAAGCACCTAGAGCAGTAGCCTCACCAGTACCTGGGGTAGCAGACACGCAAGCACCTAGGGCGGCAGCCTCACTCGTGCGGATGCCTGGGTCAGGCGGAACACTCAGGTACTGGTCCTCCTCTCCACTAATAGTCAATGCATACATTGCTTTGAGAATAACATCAAAATCAAGAGCATAGATATCGATATCCTTCTTGAGGAGATCAGCCCACTGAGGGAGCTCAGGAGCGTCAGGAAACTGAGCACGCCAAGCGTCATCTAGGCGAGAGAAGCAGCGCTGCGAAGTGTGCGCCCTCCCGCACGTCTGTCCCTTGCGGCGACCAGTGCGGATGACGTATGTGCAGCTAAGGCTACCCCCCCCACCCCCGTGCTGTAAGTACCACTCACGAAGCTCCTGGGAGGACTGAGGGTGCTGCGCACTCTGGCCAGTGCCAGAGCCTCCACGACCACCACCGCCGCCTCCACCACGACCACCACCGCCCCTGCCGCCGCCACGTCCACTGCCGCCACCACCACCGCCCCCACCGCGGCCACCGCCGCCGCCGCTGCCTCCACCACCCCCACCGCTGCCACTAGTCCCTCCAGCCCCGCCACCGCCCCCGCCGCTGCCACCACCCCCACCACCACCTCCCCCGCCGTCACCCCCACCGCCCTTGCCTCCCCTGCCCTTGCCGCTGCGGCGCCCGCTGGGAGCGGACGCAGAGCCGACCTGCTCAGCACCAAGAAGGTTGACAGCAGCAGCAGATGCGACAGAGGGGAGGAGGGGGGAGGGGGAACACCCCTCGAAGAAAGGGGTGCGGGGGTCGCCACGAGAGGCACCTACAGCTACAATACTCTTCTCAGCTGCAAGTAGTTCCTTCTCTAGGGCGGCAATGGTGAGCTGAGTGGGACAGCGAGCTAGGAAGTGGTCCCTGACTGTACGCAGAGTGTCAGGGAGGCGGGTGACTAGGTGGTAGAGAGTGAGCCAGAGCGGGGGAGGGTTGGAGGCAAGAAACTCAGCGGGCATGGCTGCACGGAAGCGGGCATCACTAGTACGGAGGTGAGTGATGAGGTCAGCGACTGTCTGGAAAGCGGACAGGTCGGGGAACAGGTAGGGAAGGGAGAGACGGCCTAGTGCAGCTGAGGCCGGGGAGGAGTAGCGCGCAACTACAGCAGTGTACAGGGCCTGCGCAGTCTGATGCTGGCCGAAGTGCTCACGCTCATCGACTGGCAGGGAGTTGCGAATGGCAAAGCGGGCGTGGGCATCGCGAGTCTGCCACTGCGAGCGAGCAGTAGCGGTAGCAGTAGTAGCAGGAGCAGGGACTGTGCCTAGTGCGTGATCGTACAGCGAGATATCCTCTCTGGCAGTGAGCTGGAGGAACAGGTGCAGATCATCGAGCCAGGTATCAAACTTAATCGGGCGGCCCTCAGAATCGAACGAGAGAACTAGAGGGCTAGCCATAGCTGAAGTAGTAGTAGCAGCAGTGGTGGTAGTAGCAGTAGCAGTAGCAGTAGCAGTAGCAGTAGCAGTAGCAGTAGCAGTGCTGTGCACAGGTAAGTAGGGCGCGGCTCGGCTAGGGCGGCGCGGCTTGGCTAGGGCGGCGCGACTCGGCTAGGGCGGCGCGACTCGGCTAGGGCGGCGCGGCTCGGCTGGGGCGGCGCGGCTCGGCTGGGTCGTGCGGTTCGGTTCGGGTCGCGCCGTGCGGCTCGGTCGTAGAGGGGCGAGCGCGGGAGGGCCGGTCGGGGCTAGCGCGGGGCCAAAGGGGGGGGCCGTGAGAGGCTAGCGCGGGGCATGCAGGGGACGTGGGAGGCTAGCGTGGGGCCTTAAGGGGCCGTGAGAGGCTAGCGCGGGGCCTGCAGGGGCCGTGGGAGGCTAGCGCGGGGCCGACGGGGGCCTTAGGAGGCTAGCGCGGGGCCGATCGGGGGCCTTAGGAGGCTAGCGCGGGGCTAGCGTGGGGCCGACGGGGGCTTAGAAGGCTAGCGCGGGGCCGACGGGGGCCTTAGGAGGCTAGCGCGGGGCCGATCGGGGGCCTTAGGAGGCTAGCGCGGGGCTAGCGTGGGGCCGACGGGGGCTTAGGAGGCTAGCGCGGGGCCGATCGGGGGCCTTAGGAAGCTAGCGCGGGGCTAGCGTGGGGCCGACGGGGGCCTTAGGAGGGTAGCGCGGGGCCGATCGGGGGCCGTGAGAGGCTAGCGCGGGGCCATACGGGGCCTTGAGAAGGAGGCGCTCGAGGCGCAGGAAAAAGAACGGCGGCGCACGAGGGCGCGGCTAGCGGAAACGGTGGGCCCTATCGTTTTGGTCCTAGGTGGAACCTAGGCTCGTAATACCATGTCAGAATGAGAAACGAGAAATGAGGAGTGACTAGCAGGAACAACAGTACAAATATGTCAAACCCTAATCTGGTGTACCCCTTATGGTGTGACCCACTACAGCCTAGAACCACACAAACATATAAATGTTTGACAAACATTGATATTTCAGGCTTTTTTTTTTAGGAACACTGTCAATCAGGGTTTCTACATAGGGGTACCCTGATGGGTCGACGACCCTAAAAGTGAATCTGAGGCCCTGACCAGGGCTTAGGTTTGGATTTTGCCTACTCACGATTAGCAGTGTAGACATTTTCAAAACCCTTCTGAGCAGTGTGCCCTTTTTGGAAACACTGATGGATCAGTGTAACTTGAAGTTTTGAAAACTTTACCCAGAGGCATCAGTGTAGGAATATTTTTAACCCTGATTGTACTTTAGGCTGCTCAATATGTGCTGGCTGCAATCAAGCTCGAGGCCCAAATCGCGCACGATTACTATCGTAAGTTGGGCGCTGGTGGGTGGGAGTTGTGATGTGAACTCAAAAGTCGAGCGCAGTGGCTTGTCTGGTTTCGCTGCAACACTTGTATTTTTCGCCAAGTCAGCAAATTTCGAGTGTGTTCGGAAACCTCGAGTCCCAAATTTCCGAGTCAAGAAAGTTGACGTTCTTGCAGAGAGTGCAGCTTCGACCAATCAGGTTGCATCGCCTCTACAGTAACGGGTAGGTTGCAAGCAGACACGGAGTGACACGGTGTTGGTTGTCAGTACTCACGTGTGCTGGCGTCGTAGTGCATCATTACGAAATTGGGTGTATCGTTACGAAGGTTCTAGGAAACTTCTTCTCAATCAGTAGAGTTTCCGAGGGGGGGGGGGGGGAGTCCCTGTACGCTCTTCAGGGTAATCTTCGCTAAGGGAAAAATTACCCCAGAGCATCAGTGTGGCCTAAATCATTACACTTACAGATCAGTGTAACACTAACTCACCAAAAAATTACCCCAGCACATCAGTGTAGACCCAAAAATTCACCCTTGTAATCAGTATAGAAGGGTAAATTACACTGCAAACCTGAGCCCTGGCCCTGACCGCGGGACGATAACGTCGTAGTCTCGTCGTCGACGGTCGCTCGTTGGAAGTCGCTCCCCACGAAGGCTCTGATACCAAGTGTTAGGCCCCTTGGCCTAAATCCGCTAAGGAATAGCGGGGTTGACTAGATTGAGGATAAGCGCGGCGGAAGACTTTGACGAAAGAGAGTGTTTTGGCGAAATGGGTGAAGAAGTAACTCAGTAATTGAAGAGTTGAATGAGAATTGATTGATAATGGCAAGTACACGCAATGTTGATATAGCATGCAAGATCGAATGTCGGAAAGTACTTCGTGGGACTAGGAATTCAAGGCAAGAAAGGTGGAGTGCCACGTGGCACTAGGAAATCAAAGAAGATAAGGATAAGGGTGAGTTGGAAAGTACTGTTTGGAATGAACAGTAGATCCCCTCTTAGCAATAAAGAATCACATCAGCTTACAGCACGAAATAATACCGTATACTCCCGGACAAAACACCCCCCCATAATTGTACACCCCCGGGTAGCTTGTGCGGGGTGGGTGTTATGATAGACCTCGTTTCTACTATACCCCCCTTTTTGGCTGATTTTCTATAACACCCCCCTTTTCTTACGGATTCATTATTTTAGTCGTTAACGAGTAGCTGCAATATGGAAGAATATCGTGTGAATTTCTCCCTCAATGTAATTTCGCGGTACATTCAAAGGCAATCTGCCGAGATTTGCCCCCTCCCACTATTTCTCTGTTGCCACGTGCAGGTGAATCTTCCGTTGCAAGTGGCAAGAGAGGTGTCACATGGCATTTTCGTGAGGGCGATGAAGTTCGAGGCCGAAACTGACATTCGCACCTCAGGCAGTGATGCTAAAACGACCAGCAAAACACCCACATTGACTAATTAAAAAAACACTAACACTAAAATATGCCATATGTAAAGACCCGGGTATTATGTATTTTTTTCCTATGAGGAGACCCCCCCCCATTTTTTCCCTGTATTTTTAGCTATACCCTAGGGTGTTATGTCCGGGAGAATACGGTAGCTTTCTGACATGGACAATACAAACCAATGACAGAATCCTGCATCCCCAACACACCATTCCGGCTACCCTACAATCCAGGAATTCTGACAGTTTGTCACTTGCGGCTTCTGGCAGCAGCTTTATTGAAAAGGTGATGGAGAATGAGCACTTGAGCTCCGTTGGCAAGAACAAGCACCAACACTTCCAGCAGGGCATACCAAAATACTCGCTGCTTGGTGCTCTCATTTGCTGCACGCACATGCCAATTTGCCCACAAGTACAACAAAAGGCAAGAATTACAAATAGAATCCCCGAAACTGTTTGGTATGAAGTGGCTAGCAGTTTCCCAAAAGAACAAAAACAATACAGAAAGGTTCCTGACAACAAAGAATAATTAACTAGAAGCCCACGGTCTAAAATAAGAGGTTGACAAAGATGAGTAATGTGGGGAACAGATAAGTAAGGAAAAGGAGGATTCACAAGGAGAGGGAAAGAAAAAAGCAGAGACACTCACTTCTCCGTCGCCGTTCGTCGCGGGCTTGAAAATAGGCCTGATCCTGCTGCACCAAGACCAGACCAGAACGAATTGACTCCACCTGACCAAGCACTCCCTGCATGTGCTCTGAGAGGGAATAGAAGAGTTGGGGTGGGGGGGAGAGGTGGTTCGGAAAGGGTTGACAAAGGGCGTCCTGCTGCACCAAACCAGACTGGATCATATTGAATCCACCTGGGCAAGCACTCCCTTCATGTGCTCTGAAGGAGTAGAAGGTGAAGGGTATAAAGTAAAGGTACAAACATAAGCAGGTGTGTTGTCCCAAATATGGGAATGACATACTTGCCACCTCGTGACCGTGCGACTCACCATCCTTGGCCACCTCATGGGTGTGCGGTTTGTGGCCGATGTGGTAGCTGAGCTGAACAGTAGCTGCCATGTGGTCCGTGTTGTCCATACAGAAGCTGTAGTCGCCCGAGTACATGGACCGGAACTGGAAGTTGTCCTCCGCCTTGCGCTTCGCACTGTACAGCTTCAGGTTGTGTGGGCCTATGATCTGACGAGAGGAGCGTGGGGGAGTACAGGGGAAAACACGTGGACAGAAGTAGTATGTTAAATGAGAGTGAGAGATGGGTAGAGGCAGAAACCGTGGTTTCTGAGAGCATGAATCTGAACTGGAGCCGTGGTTGCTGCGGTGTGCTGTGGATCTGAAATGCAGATTGCGATATGGCATTGATCTGAAAAAGAAATGTAATGAAAGAAATGTAACACCCTCAATATACCGGCACAATAAGAGCTGCGTGAGCAATGATGTGCTGATGCAGTCGGCTTGATGACCTCCGACTAAAGGCCTACACAGCTTGGCGATAAAATTGAATAAAACAGTAACCGCTTTGATCAGCCAGGAACCGTGAAGGACGAGGTTTGATATCGACAGTCGCAGTACTCTCCTCCAGCCCAACAGGTTCGGCAGAGGTTTGGTATCGACCGTCAACGGTCTGCATCAGCCATATCTAACCGACTTTGAATCAAGGGTGGAAGCTCAAGGGTAAGACGAACCTCGAAGTCGATGGTTCCCGCGTCGCTAAGCCACGCGCTGTCAACGTCAATTACCACGAAGCTTCCCGTTACCGCCTCGTTCGCTTCTAGGTGCTCCGTGAGGCACTCCTTGCCTTCCACCAGCAGCACGACGGCCGCCGTGCGACGGCATGCGACCAATGCTAGCGACAGAACGAACAGCGACACGTTCGCGAGGCGAGCGAGCAACGGGCTGCGAAACGATGACGCCATAACGCAGTGCGTCCCCTGCACGCGTGTCGCGTTTACGGACAAACTCTCCGAAATTCCCGCAGTAACCTCTTGAGGAACGCGTCTCAAGCTTGCCTAAAATCAGTCACCAGCATCTCGCACCAGACCGTGGGATCTACGGCAGTTTTACTATGGATTCATGCAAAATCTCCTGATGGTTTTCTAGATTCTGTTCACTTCCAGTTTACATATACGGTGTTACGGGTGCAATGGAGTGAGCGAACGAAGATTGCACTATCGAAGCAAGAGTACAATGAGCGAAGGCATGAGCGAAGGATTATATAGCGAAACTATAGTGGTAACGGTAATGGACTGTGGTTGTCGCGCGACGGGCCTGGGACTGAGGTTGGGAAAAGTGTCGAGGCGGAGGTCCGGAGCGCGGGTTACCGCCGAGCCGTGAGGTCGGGGTGCGACATGCGAAAAATGGCGGGCGGATTATTGATGCGAGTGGTAACGGTGCTGACTGAGGTGCTACAGTGATGTACGCGTTGAGCGGGGATGCGAAGTAAGGAAAAGGAATTTTCCTTACACTACCCCCCTCCCCAAGGAGGCCCCTCTTACGAGAGCGCATGGACGTCGCGGAAATTTCGGCTTCGCAGGTACTCGGTGAAGACAGGGTAGTTCTCGATTTTATCCAGGGGGACCCAGTTGTCTTCTGTGGGCGTTCGGTCCTTCCAGCGAATTAGGAACTCGATCCTTCGGGCTCCCCGAGGGTCGCGGACTCGGTGGCTGAGGATTTTTTCAGGGGTGATGATTGGTTCGGTTGGGGGGCGTGTCATGCTGGCTGGGCGATTTCGTGGCAGTTGGCTCGTGGATGGGATGTAAGGGCGAAGTAGGCTCACGTGGAATGACGGGCTGACGTACCAGTCAGCAGGGAGGAGGAGGTGGGCGGTGACGGGTGTGATCATGTGGCTGATGCGAAATGGCCCACAATATCGGGGGCGAAGTTTTGGAGTGATGGGCAAGCGGAGGTTCTGAGTATCGAGTAGTACTAGGTCGTCTGGCTGGTAAGTGACAGGTCGGCGGTGGCGATCGGCGTTGCGCTTAGCGATGATGTTGGCCTTTTTAATTGCGTCTGTTGCCCTGGTCCGTGCTGCTTGCAAAATCTCGGCGAACTGTTGTGCACGTGGGACTGGATTGTCGGGATTTGGGGTCATGGGTACTGTTGGGTCCTGTCCGTAGTTCAGGTAAAACAGTGACCGTTGGGTCGTGGCGGAGGGCGAATTGTTGTACGCGAATTCAATGAGTGGCAGTTGCTGTTCCCACGTGTTCGGGTCGTCGCACGTGGCCCGGATGAGCTGCTCCATGGTCTGGTTTGTCCGTTCTGTCTGTCCGTCCGTTTCGGGGTGGTACGAAGAACTGAACTGTAGTCGCGTGCCAAACTGCTGCCACAGGTTCCGCCAGAAGTTGCTGGTGAATTTCGTGTCGCGGTCGCTGATAATTGCCGATGGTATCCCGTGGAGGCGAACAACGGTGGCGATGAAGAGGCGGGCTGTTTCTTCGGCTGTGATTGATTTCTTGCAAGCTGCGAAATGTGCCATTTTCGTCAGTCGATCGACGACGACCAGGATCGCGTCGTTCCCACTCGCCCCGGCCGGTAACCCCGTGACGAAATCCATCGTCACCTGCTGCCAAGCACGCTCTGGGGGTGGAATCGGCTGCAACTGTCCTGCCGGCCGCTTCCGTGATGATTTCATGACCTGGCAGGTGGGACACGACGCCACGTGTCGTTGGATGTCGGTCAACATTTCTGGCCAGTAATAATACCGCTGCAGCTGCTGCCGTGTTTTTTCTACCCCAAAATGTCCCGAGGTCACTCCGTCGTGTGCCTCCTGTAACAGTAATTCCCGTAGTAGTGTATACCCGGGTACCCAAATGCGGTCGGTCCCGGCTTTTACGTAATAGACCCCTCGTGCTGCTGCGAACTGCTGCGAATTGCCTCCGGTGAAGAATGGGTCTGTTTGATATCCGTGGGTAAATAGTCCTGTCAGTAGTGGGCTAGTCTGGGCGAGTAGTATTGCGTGGATTTGGGCAGTGGGGCGGGTCAGTGCGTCGGCAATGTTGGACGCTCCCTTTTTGTAGGTGACCGTGTAATGGAAATTCGACTCTAGAAAGTCGAGCCAACGGATCTGTCGTGGGTTGAGGTGGGGTTGTGCGCGGAGATACTGTAGTGATCGGTGGTCTGTCCGTACTGTCACGTCTACGCCGGTCAAGTAACAGCGCCACACTTTGAACGCATGCACGATCGCAAGCATTTCGCGATCGTGTATCGGGTAATTCTTCTCAGGTGGGTGCAGCTTTCGTGATTCGTATGCGATAGGCTGTAGGCCGTTCCCGAAATCCTGTAGCAGTACGGCTCCGATGGCGATGTCGCTTGCGTCAGTAATGACTTCGAATGGGCGGTGTGGGTCGGCAATGCGCAGGACAGGCGGTGAACAGAGAACATTTTTCAGGGTAGAGAAGGCAGCATGCTCTTTCTCCCCCCACGTAAAAACGACCCCCTTCCGTAGTAGATCCGTCAGTGGGGCAGTTAAGCGTGCCATGTTGGGGACGAACCGACGGACGTAATTAACAAAACCCAAAAAACTCTGCAGCTCCGTGATGTTTGTCGGGGGGTGCCAAGCTTTAACCGTATCCAGCTTCTTCGGGTCAATCTCAACCCCAGCCTCCGAAATAACGTGCCCCAAAAATTCTAACCTATCCTGAAAGAACTCGCACTTAGACCCCTTGGTCAATAACCGATGCTCCTCTAAAATTTTAAACACTGCTTCCAGGTCCGCTAAATGCTGCTGCTTATCGCGGCTGTAGACGAGAATGTCGTCGAGGTAGACTATCACACACTTATCTAAAAGTGGTCTAAACGCCTCGTTCATGGTCATCTGGAATGTTGCAGGTGCGTTGGTCAGCCCGAAAGGCATCACGGTATACTCGAACGACCCGTACCTAGTCCTAAAAGCTGTCTTGGCGCAGTCCGATGGTTCGACTCTAATCTGGTGGTAACTGTCAAACATTATATATGTTATGCTTGTGTAGGCTACAGTGGGTTAGCCTATAGGGGGTACATAATTCTAGGGTTTCCTACTTGTACTCATTTCACTGCTAGTTCATTCATTCCTGTTCGCTTATTCTCACATGGTATAGAGCGGGTCCTTCTACGGACCGTTTTTTTTGGGCCCACCGAAGCGCCCCCCGAGGCGCGATCTTTTTTTTAGTGACCCCTCGGGTCGCCATTTCCCCTGCGGCCCCGCCGCCTTCACTGACGCGGCCCCGCCGCCCTCTCTGTCGCGGCCCCGCCGCCTGCTCTCACGCGGCCCCGCCCCGGCTTCTACGCGGCCCCGCCCCGGCTTTGTCGCGGCCCCGCCCAGGCCCTTACGCGGCTCCGCCGCCTGCTCTCCCGCGGCCCCGCCCCGGCTCCTTCGCGGCCCCGCCGCCTGCTCTCGCGCGGCCCCGCCCCGGCTTCTACGCGGCCCCGCCCCGGCTTTCACGCGGCCCCGCCGACGGCTTTGTCGCGGCCCCGCCCAGGCCCTTACGCGGCTCCGCCGCCTGCTCTCACGCGGCCCCGCCCCGGCTCCTTCGCGGCCCCGCCACCTGCTCTCGCGCGGCCCCGCCCCGGCTTCTACGCGGCCCCGCCCCGGCTTTCACGCGGCCCCGCCGACGGCTCTGTCGCGGCCCCGCCCAGGCCCTTACGCGGCCCCGCCGCCTGCCCCCGTCGCGGCCCGGTCACCTCCTGACGGCCCCGCCGTCCCTTCGTGACGGCCCCGCCGTCCCTTCTTGACGGCCCCGCCGTCCCCTCCTGACGGCTCCTGCCGTCCCCTTCTACCGGCCCCGCAACTGCACCTGCTGGCCCCGCCGCTGCACCTACCGGCCCCCCACCACCCACCCCCCCCTTTTCCCGTCGCCCGTCGCGGCTCCTTCGGGGGCCGCAAGCGGCCCCCTCAGGTCGCCTCGACAGGCGACGGGAGAGGCCAGCAGAGGGGTGGCAGGTGTGTGGCCTCCCCTGCTTCTCCTCCTCCTTCATCTCCCACTGCAGCAGCCGAGCCGCTCACCTGCAGCAGCCGAGCCGCCCCACAGCCGAGCCGCCCTGCCGCCGAGCCGCCGGGTCGCTGAGCTGCTGAGCTGCAGTTGCTGCCGAGCCGCCCTGCCGCCAAGCCGCCGATTCACCGAGCTGCTGAGCTGCAGTTGCTGCTGAGCCGCCTTGCCGCCGAGCCGCCCGAGTCGCCCGAGCCGCCGAGCCGCCGAACTGCCGAG